AAATTTAATTGGCTTTCTTTTGACTCAATTATATACCGACCTATTTTCAATAATAAACTCAATAGAGCCGTTTAAACACAGCAAAGCGTGGTCTGGCGGCAGAAGTTATGTGGCTCCCCTCTCATTCCCGCTGTCCGCTTACAACCACAGGTATGAATTAAAACATTACGTGTGCGACGCCTAGACTGCATGACAGTCAATTTTCCTTGTTTATAGAACTTTGTGTTCTATTTTTGAAATGTCTAGTTTATAGGGTTCTCATATCATCAGGAAGTAGTAAAAAGCTAGCTGAAAATTATCGAGAATTTTTGAGAAACTTGTAAGTACGAACGCACTTAAGTTAAAAAAGAGAACGAGTGCACGCCAAAATCCCGTAATTTCAAGTGTGATTGGTCTAAGTCAGGATCTACTCGTTAAATTAATTGTTATATTCAACACATGAATGAAATTGAAATTATCCCTCTTTTACGCTTACGTAGGTAGATATAGTATTTTTAATCCGAACTGAAACACTAAAAAAACATCTAGTCGGCATAAATCAAACAAATTAAAGACATGGGCGTCACATATTTTTTATTTCTTTAAATGGTGATATTCAATGTCAAAAAACACAACTAAATAATACGTGGAATTAAACAGCAAATAATATACCTATAAATTGTGATAACACTAGTTACTAGTTATAGATAACGCGTATAGTCTAGTCAGCCAGGCACCCGCATCCTTCCCGAAAAGAAGAAAAGTAAGAAAAGTAAGTAATTCAATTCATAGGCGCATGCCGACCTAAATTATTATTTTGGGCTACTGTCGCGATATTTCGTCGCTGCCTATATTTTGTACAGGGAAACTTTACAATAGATTTTCTATGAAATTAAGAGAAGAGAGCGACGTGATGTTGAAATATCCTCGTATAATGCAGTGTTTCAAGTCAGAATAAAAATACTATACTACTTTACATTTTTTCATTTTGTAGGCGGACTAACATTGACGTCATGGATAATGTTTGTGTTTTATGTTGGAAAACATTAACGGCAGAATCACCTAGCTTTTCAAAAAGCCAACAAAACAGGGCTACTTGACAATTTTTCCTGCAGCAGAAAAAAAAAAGATGCTATTTCTTCACAGATATTGTGAGGAAGAAAAGAAATAAACGCTAGTCCCGAAAGATTCAAATTCCTATCATAAAAGTTGCAGAAAATATTTTTGCAGAAAAAATAATATTGACAAGGTAATGAAATTAAATAACCCAAACATAACCAAAGTATTTCCATCAAGCAGCGGTCATAGTGATAGGAAGAAGTTTGATATAAAAGCTGACTGCTTGATCTGTGGTAAAAGCGGCACCAATAAAAAGAAAAACTTAATAAAATATCTTTGTACTTAAGGGACTAAAAGTATTCTTTTAGTCCCTATTTTCAGGGACTAAAGTGGCACTTTTTCTCACTAGGGATTAAAAACGATTTCAATCCCTAAGGGATTAAAAATTATTTTAATGTTTTCTTTCTTTCTTTCTTTCTATTTAACAAATTCAGATCCAAACTTAGAATGCAAAAATGTAAATCGGTTTATACATTTCCCTTAAAATATTTTATCCAATATTTATATAAAGAAAAGAAGAATCATATTCAAAATAGTTTGTGACAAAATATGCAATTTTGTCGTATTCCGCCCGCTTCTGTATTTTAAAATTGTGGCATAAGAGGGTAATAAATAACCAAGGAAAAAAACATTCGCAGTGGGGCGTGTCACAATATGTATTGCTTAGGGTTTTGGAAAATTTAGGGTTTCTCCGTTTAACGCAGATATTTTAATAGCTCTAAAGGGAATTTGTTACACTTACGGACTCGATTAACGTTTATTATAGCTACAATTAATTTTGGTCGTTTTTGTTTACCAAATTATGTTCTGCACTCGCTTTCCCGTCTTTTTCGTGTAGCGTGTAGGTAAGCACATAACGCAAGGGTTTAAAAATATTTTCCTTTACAATGCCTTCAATTAAATTATAATGATTTCGTTAAAATGGTTTCCAGAATAAGGGCTTCTCCTGAACATACAAAATTGATATTTGTTCACGGAGATCATATTCTGGGCAATTTGGTCAGGGTGTATTTAATAGTTAAAAAAGTGTCATCTAATCTATAATGAAAACATTAATCACCCTTGTTTAAATCCTAATTTATTATAGACCGGGAGAAGTGACAGATTCCTGAGAAATAATTTGCGTGTGCCCATTTAGACTTCGTTTGCAGAGAAATTGCTAGTTAATTGTTTAATCGTAATTGAAAACTAACATTTTGAACGATTGGTTAGCGATTTCAATGTACAAACGGAATTGCATGCGAAAAAAAGAACTTAAAAAAAAATCTTTTTCATCAGATTTATAATAAAATGTAGTAATTTGATAATTGACAGACGAGAACTAATGGTTCTGCAAGAGAAATCCAGAGAACAACATTACCCTCTATACATGGCCTTCATAGATTTAGTGGAAGTATTTGATTCGGTCAACAGAGAAGCTCTTTGGAAGATATTGGCAAAGGTTGGGTGTCCGCAGAAGTACATCCCGATACTCCGCCTGCTCCATGATAATATGGATGCAACCATCCCAAGCAGCGATCGACAAGGAGAATCTTGAGTAACTACAGGCGTTAAACATGATGTCTGTTGGCTGTGCTATTGCACCCACTTTATTTTCTCTATTTATAGGATCCATACTTCACCAGCCATCAGAAGTCGAAATCCTGTGCAGACTTGATGGCAGCTTATTCAACCTAAAGATGAAAGTATCGACTACATCGATAATTGAACTTAAATATGCGGATGATAACGTCGTGATGGCCAATACAGAGAAAGATCTTCAGGCCATAGTCAATGCATTCAATTAAGCATACAGGAGAATCGGCCTAGAGGTCAACTTTAACAAGACGCAGATTCTGCACCAACCCGACCCGCACCGGGTTCTAATCCCCAAGCCCCAAACTATAAATGACCATTCTTTTGCAGCACGTAGAACACTACCCTTACTTTTAGAGGCGGCGCGTCGGGGGCTCGAGCTCCTCCACTTTTTTCTGTAATACAAGAAATTCTCATTCTCTCATAATTTAAAAAAAAAAATAGGTATTAACAAAAAATCCTAAATTCCAGCTACAGTAAAGTCGAATTGTGTTTCTTAATATAAAAATGACGTATTTCTTGTTCGTTGTCCGTTAAAAAGGCTGTTTGTTATTCTATTATTTAGTTTAATTTTCTTTTCTACAAGCATCTACCTAATAAAGAGAGTTTGTCTCTCAATTTGTTTATCTTTTTTACAAATAATTGACGATTGAGGGAAATAAGTAAACCCTCATCATTAAGCACCAACTTCGCTGGACAGGCCACCTTGTTCGCATCTCCGAAACACGTCTTCCACGACAGATTCTTGTCAGTCAACTGGAAGAGGGAAAACGAAATCAACGAGGTCAACAAAAACGCTCAGTGGCGCATCGATACCTGCAACTGGGAAACGACGGCAAATGATAGGCCCTCATAGTGTCGAGTAGTCCACGACGGACCACAAACTTTTGATGAACACGACGCAGACACAAAACCGAAAAGAGAGACCGCAGGAAGGAGCGAGAGAACAGACGAAAAGACAATGCTGCCACAAGCTGGGTGTGGGAAGTGGAAGAGTGTGCGTCCCCAGAATTGGTTTATAGAATCGAAGATAATCATACTCGGTATCGAGTGATCGCCTCTAATGAACCGATAGTTCTCAGTGCCCGTATTCTCGTCACCGGGGAACAGCGTTCTCTCAAGAGAACGATTGCTCTGTCAAGACCGTGTTTATGTTGGAGCTGTGATAAGCCATAAAAGCAACGATACTAATGATACTTTACATTAGTATCGTTGCTTTTATCGTGTATCACAGCTCCAACATAAGCACGACCTTAGGCCGTGTTTATGTTGGAGCTGTGATAAAAGCTATGAGAGCGTCGATAATAGCGGTGATAAGAGCTATTCAAAAGTATCTTTCTTCGATGCGTTTATGTTGGAGCTGCGATACTAGTCCAGTAAAAGCAGTCGAGCGAAGTGTTGCCTTTAAAAAATGAGTGCTTCTGATGAAGAATTTTTACTATTATCAAAAAAAGTGTATGCAACTCTCATGTAATGGCCATTATTATACTCGCATGTTATATACGAAACTCGCCTGCGGCTCGTTTCGTATCCTACAACATGCTCGTGTATTATTGGCTATCATTATATGATCGTTGCATTATATACTATTGTAAAGACACTCCCTCGTCTCCCTCGTTCACCAAGGCAAAATTATAATAATATAAACCTTAATAAACACTCGTCCATTCATAGTCGATAAAAGCAAAGAAATAAAGAAATATACAAAATTGCTTCTCGCCGCTCTTATCGCTGGTCCACAAAAAAGCGCTGCTCTACTCGCCGCTCCAATATATGTAGACACCTGCGTACAAACACAGGCATTGTATTTCGTTGCTTCGCTAGTATCGTTGCTTTTATCGTTTATCACAGCTCCAACATAAACACGGCCTTACATTAGTATCGTTGCTTTTATCGTGTATCACAGCTCCAACATCAACACGACCTTAGGCCGTGTTTATGTTAGAGCTGTGATAAACGATAAAAGCAACGATACTAATGATACTTTACATTAGCATCGTTGCTTTTATCGTGTATCACAGCTCCAACATAAACACGGCCTATGTCACCCATGTTGATATTTCCATAATACTGACAAAGACATAGCAATCGGTTTCTTGAGAGAACGCTGTTCCCCGGTTACGAGAATACGGGCCCAGCAATATGTCACTTCGTGCCGATCTATTATCCACCGCTGAAAATAATCCAACGTAGTATGTTTGAAAGCAAATAGATAATAAAGAAACACATAGTAATTAGGAAAAGCAAACATGTACATTCAGTTTATTATTTATGTTACTTCATCATAATCTATATATCTTCTCAGTGTTTTTGATCTCTTTTTTTTCAGATATCAGACACTACCAGAGGATGTTGTTGTGTTCCGCAGTACTCAGATTTGGTAGCCTTAGGTAAGCATCGTAATTTTGACAAGCCTAGAAATTTTTCAAATAATCAGAGCATTGCTTACAAATGTCAATATAGCCAGCCAACTTTCAAACACCTGTATTTAACCTACTCATCAAAATGTATTTGTTTGAAGTTTTCCCAGTTTTTAAAATCAACTTAGCTAAAATAGCATTTTATCCGCACCTAGTTTCATCTAGTTCAGAGACAGTTGTATTTTACTTTGTTCATTCCAGAGAAAATGCAAAAATAAACATTAGCAAATGTTTGCCTTGCAAATAAAGTAGTTTTAATCCCTATTATTGCTTTTGTTCTTTCCGTTTTGCCATACTTTATTTGCCTTGCCGTTTTAATTAAAATTAAGTTCACAAAAGAACTGCAAAACTGTGGTTTGGCTGGTTAACATAATGCTATAATATTGAAAAGAACGATCGATCCTCGAATTTATTTTATGATAAAATCCTGATAGTCAAATAATATTTAAACCAATTGAGATGACAGAAAAAACATGAAATTCCTAACACTAGCCATCATAAGTTTATGTCAGCCAGTGAAAGGTCGACCCCGCCTTAGTATTGACTTCATTAAAGAATACTTTTATAGAGAAACATTAGCTTCAAATAAAATGCAGTTGCTAAGGAAAGTTAAAGTTGATTTATGGGCTAGTGGATGCATGTGAAATGGCTATAAAAATCCCAAAAGTTCATGTTTCAAAATAGCCATATCAGGAAAAAGAGAAGCAGTTGACATATCAATGTATCTCGTAACCTCGGATCACGTAAACTGCTTTATCACTCAACAACAAGACCCTAAAACTCAGGGAAACAACTACCCGAAAGGAGGATAAGGAAAATGTATGTCAGACTTTCTACACAGGAAAGATAGTAATGGACCGCGTGGTATTTACAGCCACCCTCTCCTTTGTTTAATGGTAAAAAATCCTCTATCTGCTGCTCGTAAATTTTCGTAATGTTTACTTACTTCTAAATTCGGAAAGCAGTTCAAAAATACTTATAGTCAAAAACAGGTTGTGATTATCGTGCGGGTGAAAATTTATTTTTCCCAAAGGAAGATAAATTATTTATTTACGCAGCGTTTATGGGCTTTAGCTATTTATTACGATTCATAATGCAGTAAAAAGAACCGTTTGCGGAATTTTTGAGGGAAAATTGAAATCATTACCATTGGGTATTCGCAGCCTGTAATAGTATATTACATACCGAGGTGGGAAGTGTTTCATTACTGTCGAGAGATTAGTTAGTTAACTGAGACGCGAAGCGAGGTTTGTATACTATTTTATTTACAACAATTACAACCATTACAATTTTGACTAAATATTTTTAAAAAATTAAAAATTTTTATAGACAAGTTCTGACTTATCTAAAAAAACGTTTGACATGTAGGACTGGTCTTCAACATTTTAGGAAAATAGGACTTACTTTCCACCTGGGATCACTTTCCACCCGGGTGGAAAGTAAAATTCGAAAAAGTGTCACTTTCAAACTTTTGAAAAGTCAGAAATGTCAACATTACCTATGTGGTTGTAAATAAAAGCCCTAACGATTGTGCTGACAAAAAACTGGGACAGCAAAATATAGTTTGATCTTCCGGACTATTAAATTCTATTTTGAAGTTATCATTTTGATTCTTGATATGTAATAAAGCATTATAATTCTTTTTATAGTCTAGGAGCTACTCTACGTCGAGATTTTTGCTTTCCCAGATTTTTTTCGGCATGATGGTACGAAAATTTTTGTATTCTGTAAACGATTCCTAAAGAGCAGGAAAACATCTTTAAGATGCCATAACTTGAAGCTGGTTGGCTGTTTGGCATAATGCTCTCGGATAGAAAGCGGGCCCTCAATCAATTAAAAACAAACCTATCCAAATCAACTACTTTTCCTGTTGTAGATTGTGGATTGCATTTGGAGTCGTTACAGCTTGTTCCAGCCGCTCCAGCACTGCTACCTTTCCAGTTATTTTGTATGTGACTCTGCTACTAGTTAGTGTCCAAGATTTGTAGACTACCAAAGGAGGCCAACTTCCTGGGAGGTAAAGTGCTCACCTCTTGGGGTGTTGTGGCCGTACCCCTTTGGGTGTTTCAGGTGTTGCAGAAGTGAGCAGGGCATTCACAAATTAATTGTTCTGTAATTTAGGGTTGCTTGTTCGCAAGATCTGCAGTGGTCGTTGTCTGATTTGCCTATTGCTTTTAGGTGATATTTCACCAGGCAATGCCCTCTGCTGAGATGGACATGAATCTTGTTGCCTTTTGCCTGTCTCATACCCGGAATGGATCTCCAATGAGCTAGCATTTGGTCCTTTTCCCATCTGTTCTGGGCCTTGTAAAGGCATATAAGCGCCTTGCTTTGCGAGGTGGTCTGCTTCCTCGTTGCCCTCTATGCCCTGGTGTCCTGGCTCTCACATTTCGATCCTCCCAGCCAGTTGCTTAAGGATATTTTTATCCTCCCAAACTAGCTGCGAATTGCACTTGATGGCTCGTAGAGCCACTTGACTATCGGACGGTATTTCAATGTTGAAAGGCCACTTTTGAGGCACTCTTGGGCTCAGATGTTTATGGCCAGTACCTCAGCTTGAAATATTGTGGGCGTTTCAACCATTGCTAAGGAGAGTTTAAAGTTTGGTCTAGTTATTCCCAGATCGAATCCTTCCGTTAGATTCGAACTATCTGTGTACCACAATAATACGTTGTGCGCTTGCGGTAGCTTTGCGTTCTTCCATGATTAGCGTTCTTTTACAACCACTCCATATAGAATAATATGTCCAGTGATGTTATCATATTGTTACAATAATGCTAAACGCTGTTGCTAGAATAGGCATCCGCCAGGCTGTCGATGTCGAATATCCTCGAATCTAGCGAATTATTCTACTATAATCGAGAAATAAGATTATCGTGTGTGTTCTAGATTTTACAGGAATAGATTTAGGGATATATATAAGGACGGGTTTTAGCTTGTAGGTTAAGTTTCAGTTTGACTGTGATACGATTTAAATAGTGATTATTGGGAGTTGTAAGAGTTTAATTGTTGAGTTTGTTATTAAAGTAATTAGTGTCAGAGTGTATTGTTAAGTGGAATAAATTATTGCTGTGTTAATTGGACTTTGATTTTTGGAATAAACGAAACGAACAACGAACCCAAGATTTCTGTCAGGCAATCAAAAGCCGTGACATTGGTGTCAGAAGTCGGATATAAAGGACTGCAGAGTGAAATTCAATTGCGGAAGTGCGGGGACACTAGTGTAGTATAAAAACTGAACACTAAGTGAACACTGGGACAGTAAGTGCAGTGCAAACAGTGACGTATTTAGAACATCAATCGTCATTCAGAAGAGGTTTTTCGAGGAGTTTCGGGAAAATTCTAGAACATTCTATTTGGAAATCAAGGGAGATATCGAAATTGTGACTTCACCGACGTGTTTGCTGTGTCAATCGACATCTAGAAAAGAAGTTTCAAGAAAATTCTAGAACATTCTATTCTAGAATAAAGCAAGTTATCCAATTTGTGACTTCACCGGCGTGTTTGGAACTTCGAGCAAAGACCAGAAAAGATATTTGAAGAAAGTTCGAGGGAAATTCTAGAACATTCTGTATATGCCTATCACAAGACAACAAGCCAAAATGGACGAACAAAAAGTTGAAGAACTTCTGCGCAAAATGTTGGAACTTCAAGAGACCAGACGACAACAAGAAAAACAAGACGAAAAAGCCAGACGACAACAAGAAAAACAAGACGAAGAAGCTAAACGACAACAAGAGAAACAAGACGAAGAGGCCAGACGACAACAAGAGAAACAAGACGAAAAGGCCAGACGACAAAAAGAAAAACAAGAAGAAGAAGCTAGACGACAACAAGAAGAGGCCAGACGACAAAAAGAAAAACAACAAGAAGAAGCTAGGCGACAACAAGAAAAAGCTAGGCGACAACAAGAAGAAGCTGAGCGACAACAAGAACGGCAGGAGGACCTTGGAAGACTGCAGAAAATATTCCAAACCATACAAGGAACTGTCGCTAACCTAGACCAGAAGATTGAACAAGTTAAAGACGATGTGCAAGAAGTTAAACACGACGTTCAGGAAGTAAAAGCTGAAGTCAAAACCGATGTTCAAGAAGTTAAAGACAATGTTCAAGAAGTTAAAGACGATGTTCAGCAATTAAGACAAGAAGTGGAGGACCAAGTTCAAGCACTCGAAGATAAGGGGCGTAAATTGGAAATACAGTCCATCAATCCAGTTAGTGTTGGAGCATTCTCCAGTATGAAGATAAAACCACCAACTTTTGACGGTTCTACATCCTGGACCATGTATATTCGACAATTTGAAGCTGCTGCAAACACCAATGGTTGGAACGACCAAGAAAAAGCCACAGCACTAATAGTGGCGCTACGAGCACCTGCCTTAGACCTTCTTCAGTCCATTCCTTCAGTCTACCAACAGAATTACCAACATCTAAGTCAAACTTTAGAACTGCGCTTCGGAGACCATTACAGACGAGAAGTATTCAGAACTCAAGTTAAATCAAGAGTTCAAAAACCCGGCGAGAGTCTACAAGAATTCGAATCGGAAGTTAAAAGGCTAGTGAGTTTGGCGTTTCCTGCAGCTGGGGAAGACACGCAGGAATGGATGGCAGTATCTGCGTTTATTGATGGTCTCAGAGATTCAAAGATCCAGGAAAACCTAAGAATGTACAAGTTCAGACAAAGTAGCGAAGCCCTTGTCCGAGCATTAGAACTGGAAGCAATCTTTGGTGCCTCACGACCCAGAATACGAGCAGTGTCCATTGAGGACCCAAAGGAAAAACAATCATCAAAAGAGGATGGCAGTTTCGAGAACCTTATGAGTAATTTCATGGAGGAAATAAAGAAAATATCACGAGAAGATAGAAAAATGGGGAACGATTTCAGACAAACACCAATACCGAGAAACCGAGTAAAATGCTACCGGTGCCAAAAGCTTGGACACATGCAATGGGATTGTAGACTAAGGATG